GAGAGAGAAAGAGAGAGGGAGGGGCGGTCAACGCATTGTTTCTTTGCAGTGAGACGTAAGGTAGCTGAATTTAAATAGCTTAGGTCGTGCTTCACTCTCACATTGCCTAAATTGATTATTTTTTGGCTAGAAGCGAGGGATTTAGATAAGACATGAGCACATTCTTTTCATAGAATGAGCATTAATAACGTCGTCCCAGACAAAAAAGAACAGACCGATATACTTAAACGACACACTTACCTATCACAAACAATCAATGATATGACAAACTGAGAGTCGAGCTCAATGACATAAGACTAGTTTTGCCTTCTTTCTTTCAAATTAAAGAAAGTCGTCGAAGGGTGCGCGACTTTGTTGTAATTGCTGACGTACTCATCTATGCACGCTAACAGATTATTACTTCAGTTACAGGAAACCACTGCCAACTTGGCGTTCGTGACACTCGGAAAGTGAACTCTGACCCCTGACACGCGACACATTCCAGTGATTTAACGACTTGCTCTAGTCGTAAATTGCGTAAACAATGCAAGTTATTTGCTGGTCCTCTTGTTCTCGCTTTTCCCTCAAGACGTATGCACTTCTCATGCGCTCCGCTTTCTAAGACATGACTCTTTTTCTAATCCTCCTACAAAACTCTTTGTTTCGCTCAGGGTGAAAGTAAAATTGTATAATAAATATATCGCCCCATTTAAATTCGGGCCAGGGTGTCCACTCTGCAGTCCAGCATGTAGCATGATACCAGCTGAGCCAGCGGTCCGTCTCTCGCGAAAGCCATTAGGATTCTCGTCCTCTTTGGCCATGGGTATATGGGGGGGGGGGTCGTTTTATATTGCTGTCGTTGTTGCCATTGTTGTTGTTGGGGTTTTTTTTGCCGCCCTTGTCGTATTTGTCGTCGTTGTCGTTGTCCTCTTTTGGGGGTTTTGTTGTTGAGGTTGTTGTTCGTCCTCTTTTGGGGGTTTTGTTGTTGAGGTTGTTGTTCGTCCTCTTTTGGGGGTTTTGTTGTTGAGGTTGTTGTTCGTCCTCTTTTGGGGGTTTTGTTGTTGAGGTTGTTGTTCGTCCTCTTTTGGGGGTTTTGTTGTTGAGGTTGTTGTTCGTCCTCTTGTAATTTGATTTAATTGTTTTAGGTGATTTCAATAAGATAACTATCATTGTTACACTTACTGTATCATTGTTTTACAGTGGCTGTTAATTGTTTTGTTCATAGGTGCTGTTGTTGTCGCTGTCGCCACCACTAGACAAGTTATCATCTGTGTCTTCCTTTTTCTTCTACTTGCGGTAGTTCCTATTGTTTCCCTCTTTCTTTCTATCTTCTCCTCCCCGTTTAACTTACCCACTTCGTGCAAATTTGTCTCGCATAATTTGATAAGTTGTAATGTATTATTCTATTTTTTTATAATTTTTTGAGAGAATCTACGTACTTTTGCGTTTGCAACACTTTTAAGAAATTCAGTTGCGACACAATTTTTTCAAATTTGAAATGCCTTCAAAAACATGATATAAAATGGGGCAAATGCTTCAATTCCGAATAGTAGTTCAATACAATTTTGTTACGCTGAAAATCCCTTTAAACGTGTGCAGAACATAATAGAATTCTGAGCTTTTTGGGGGTTTTCCTTTCGCTTTGGACGTTTAGTCCACATCAATTTACACACAAATAACTCGCTTTCTTCTGGACTTTCTTTTGGACGTTTCACCTTTTGGCCTGTTTCCAGTATTGTTGAGCTGGTCCTCGCTGTGCAGTTTGCTCTGTACAGTAAGGAGTATTTCCAGGATGTTTAGAAAAGTGTTAACAATGGTAAATTCACTCTCTGAATCAGTTTCTTAGTGTCTCGACTGCTTTTAATAGTCGTCGAAACAGCAGAATCGTATCCTCCTTGGAACACCTACGGGATTCCGTGAATAAGAGATCTATTACTCTTATCTGAAGAATGACGCCGAGGGATTATTTATTTTCATTTGAGCTTTTCGATTACCGTGCTGTACCCGTTCAACACGCTGGCGGAATAGCATCGAGTGATTTACGAGGAGCCCATTTTATCAGAGGGTGACGCTCCGCCAGTCTCAAATCTTGGTGAATGATTGATGGTGCGGTACGTTGTGTGTCTCCTCACACTGCTCTCTTAACAGGCGTGCAACAACTGCTCTATCCCTTCGCCACACAGCTTTGAGTGGTAGGTATTAGTTGAAGCTGTAGTGAGTGTCCTCTCTTGACCTCGCTGCTTTACGTGCAGGGACGGATTTAATAGCTCCAGATGTTTTGTGTTGAATAAGATTTTGCTATCTATAAGCTACTTCAGTGCAAAAGATATGCGAACCAAGTTGAACGTTCGTGAGGTTTTGGTATCTTAATCATTTGCTGAATTCCTTCTCACTCGCCAAATAAACTTTTCTTGAGGAAAAAAATATCCCTTAGTCGTCTACTTCCCCGTCTTGGATCAACTCCGAAGTAGTTTTGACTATGAAGTAAGTAAGCGAGAAAACAGAATTACAACACTTCCAACGTTTATGACGACAAGAATGGACTTCTGGTTCCTAATTTGCAAACGTGATCCATCTTCTTCTCGGCATACTTTATCATCTGAACTTGTTTATCCTTAGTCCAAACCTGACAAAACCGATTTCCCCAGCCTTATATGAAGAAAGAAGATTCAAAGTATGCAACGTGTGAACATATCTGAATAGGGTTTGTGTTGGTGGTTAGTACCAGATTTGAAGAAATAACGAATCAAGAGATAGAAACCCCGAAGAAGACAAAAATCTCCGATAGAGCAATCATGATAGCCTCCGTTTTCCACTCCGAAACATGCTTATAGTCTTAGAAAAGAATTCGCAGAATTTTCAAAAACAGAAAATATAGAGTCGTATGAAAATGACAGCAATGCAATACATTCATAATGACCACGTAGCCCACAAAGCAGTCCCATTTAAATAGCCAAACTTGGCCCTCCTCCCAACCTTCAGAACTTCGTCCGAACCTACAAGATGAACGATATTGACAGCAGCAAAAGCAACAGCAATATTTACAGCAAGAGGATAACAATGAAAACAGCAACAGGAACGACAACAACAGTTGATCTGTGATAACGAAAACAAAAACAATAACAATAGAAACAATAAACCAATTCAAGCTATGATGAAGTAGGAGTTAGAAAGAAGACGAACAACAACAACAACGACAACAAAAGTATCAGCAACATCAAATAAACATACAAACAAATCCTCAACACTCTGCCTCTAACGGTCAACTTCCCTACCTCATAAAAATCTCTTTTTTCCTCCCGTAGTTACCTCTCTTCTTCTGCCGTCCCTCATTTACATCTCTCTGTCTGACCTTGGTCCTCATCCTTCTTCTTGCAATCATTTCGCCTCATTTCGCATATACCCTACACAATTATAGCCCCATTGCCCCTCACGCCCCTCGATACCTCCCTCCTCCTTCAACCCTCCATCATGTCTCTCCTCCCCTCCCTTCAGACACCTTCCTCTTTCCATTCCTCCACCTCAATGCCCTCTATACGTCGACTAACCTCTCCCCTCCCCTACCCAAACCATCCGTTACCTCTCTCCTCCTCCTACTCCTCCCCTACGTTACCTTAGGATCCAGATGATGAGCGTCCTTGTATGAGTACCACAGATAGGTGTCGTTGCTGTAGGCGATGCGAAAACGTTGCACCCAGTGTTTGCGCCGAGTGTCCCCTCGTCCCTTGATGATGATACCAGTGATGAGGGTTGGGGGTCCCACGTCAAGTTGTAGCCATTGGGTATCTGACGAGGCAACGGAACCGTCAAAAACAATTATGAAGTTGTTTGCAGAATTGTTCCGGGCAACATTATTTAGTTGGGGTTTTTTTTCAAACAGCCGACGCAATAATTTTATTACATGCAACTCGCTTTTTAAATGAATAATGTAGATATTGTGTTGTTCTCAATAACCTGGCAAGTTTACAATCAGTCCGATAAGAGTTATTTTGTTGGATAGAAAAAAACCCACTGGAAAAAGCGTTACTAATTTGATATCTAACACCTTTGTAAGGCGTACCTATATTTTACTTTAATCCGAACATGAACATATAAAAAATTTCGTTTGAAACCATTCTCTACCTTCAGTTTTCTAGGTTTCCTTTTGATCTACTTCCTCCACTCTCTCTCTCTCTCTCTCTCTCTCTCTCTCTCTCTCTCTCTCTCTCTCTCTCTCTCTCTCTCTCTCTCTCTCTCTCTCTTTCTCTCTTCTCTTTCCCTCTCTCTCGTTTTCCTATCATATATGCCTGGTGTTTCACCCTAGAGCAAGTTGCTCTTGAAACGTTGCGCTGTTTCTATCACCCCCTACCCCGGCCACTTCCAACCTTCTCCTCGCGCCTCTTTAAAATCACTGCCAGTTACGTCTTTGTCCAAAACTAACGAAACTCTTTTGATTCCCACGGCAAACTCTCGCATACGTAACTGCAAAAACAATTTAGATTCAAAGGGGGGGAGGGCAACTCAAAGTTGGCATCGATTATTTCCCATTAGATCTTTACGATGGCAAGTACCCTTAGTCTGTCTGACCATGCAGAAGTTATTGTCCCTGAAGAATATACCACCGACTGTTTTATCGAACTTATCTTCTGAATGGGCACATTTTGCAGCCAAACGCTCGCGTGGAAAACGACGACTTTAGCATTCATGTGAGAACATCATTCTTTTCAAGAATCAATACAGCCGAGTTCATCTTTTTTGTGTTAATGTGGGTATTTTACGCCCCCATCGACATTATTCAGATCATTTAGGAGGCAGGCTTCGATCCTGCCTGTCAGGGCTAACCCAGGCTGAGAGGGAAATAATGTCCCGGCACAAAGACGGGGATACTCGAAAAAATATTTATCCCCACGCAGGAATTGATATAAGTCTTTGCATTTTTGATAAAACGCAAAAGAAAACGGAATCCAAGAGTCTTGGTTGTGCATTGTCGGTTGCTTGATGTAATTTCTGTTGGTTTTTTTCTTCAGGGGGAAGAAGTGGCT